GCCTGCTTTTCTTTTGTCCCAGGGCAGCCTGTTGTGGGGAACTGTTCACAGTTTTAGCTTCGCACTGCTTTTCAGCCCCTCAAATCTCCAGAGCACCATGCAATATGGGTCTGTGCTCCAGACCACCATGCACTGTAGATTTCTAGGGCTGGGTATTTAGCAATCCTGTGCTTCCACTCCCTCCCTGCTCTGATTCTTTTCCTCCCACCTGTGAGCTGGGGTTGGGGGAGTGCTCAGGTCCTGCCAAGTCACAGCTTATTACCTTACTCTTTCCCATGAGATGTTAACTTCTCCCAGATGTAGACTGGCTGGTGTACTGTTACTTCTGGTCACTCTTTTAGGATTAGTTGTATTCGCTGTATTTTCAAAGTATATGTGGTTTTTGGAGGAGATTTCTGCCACACTACTCACTCTGCCATCTTTTCTCCCTGATACCTCTAAATGACCTACTTTTAGAAGGTTTTATAATTTTATCTGTAAATATATTTGGTCCTCATTATTAATGAATTTAATAATTGTGAATTTGCCTATTTCCTAAAATGTATTTGTGACCCCCATGTCAATACTCCCTGTGCTTTCATGGTCATTCACGAACATGTGCAGAGTGGTGAAAAATTTGAGCTCATAAATCATAAAAATTTGACATGTATTTGGGAACACAGTTCCCAACTGAGTTCCAACAAGGTGATGCTTTGCCTTCTTATTTTGGCTATCATATTGTAAACATAAGTGTACTTTTTACAGTTTTTGTAGTACCATGTTTTCTACATTTTTGTGCCCTTTTTTGGGTGATTTTACTTTTTAAAAGGGGCTCTCAAGGGAGAATATATTCATAAATGACATATCCTAAAAGCAGTTAACATCCAAAATATATAAAGAGTGTACATGCCTCAACACCCAAAAAGCAAATAACCTGATTAAAAAATGAGTGGAGGATATGAACAGATGTTTCTCCAAAGAAGAAATTCAGATGGCTAACAGGCACATGAAAAGATGCTCCACATTGCTAATCATTAGGGAAATGCAAATTAAAACTACAATGAGATATCACCTCATACCAGTTAAGATGGCCAACATTCAAAAGACAAACAACAACAAATGCTGATGAGGGTGTGGAGAAAGGGAACCTTCCTACACTGCTGGTGGGAATATAAAGTAGTTCAACCATTGTGGAAAGCAATATTGAGATTCCTCAAAAATCCAAAAATAGAAATACTATTTGACCTTGGAATTCCACTCCTAGGAATTTGCCCTAAGAAAACAGGATCCCATATTCAAAAAGACATATGTAGTCATATGTTTATTGCAGCACTATTTACAATAGCCAAGATCTGGAGGCAACCTAATTGTCCATCAGTAGATGAATGGCTAAAGAAGTTGTGGTACACAATGGAATATTATTCAGCCATAAGAAGAAAACAAATCCTACCACTTGCAATAACATGGATGGAGCTAGAGGGTATTATGCTCAGTGACATAAACCAGGCAGAGATAGACAAGTACCAAATGACTTCCCTCATTTGTGGAGTGTAACAACAAAGCAAAAACTGAAGGAACTAAAGAGAAGCAGACTCACAGACTCCAAGAAGGGACTAACAGTTACCAAAGGGAAGGGGTTAGGGAGGGCTGGTGGGGAAGGAGGGAGAAGGGGATTAAGAGGTATTATGATTAGCACATTTAATGTAGGAGGGCACAGGGAAGGGAGTATAGCACAGAGAAGACAAGTAGTGACTATAGCATCTTACTATGCTGATGGGCAGTGACTGCAATGGGGTGTGTGTGGGGCAACTTGACAGTATGGGTGACTGTAATAACCACAATGTTGCTCATGTGAAACCTTCATAAGATTGTATATCAATGATACCTTAATCAAAAAAGTTAATAATAAATAAGTAAATATAAGGGCCCTCAAGCATAGTGCTGAAGTGCTGTCTCTTCCTAAGTGCAAGAAGGCTGTGAAGTGCCTTACAGAGAAAATACACATGCAGCATGAACTTTGTTCTGTCATGAGTTATAGTACTGTTGGCCATGAGCTCAGTGTTAATGAATCAACAATACTTTTTAGATAAAGTCTTTTTAAACAGAAACACATTAAACATGGTTATATATTGATCAGTTGGTGAAAATATGACCAGAGACTTGCAGGAACCTGACTCTCTATTTCCCCCAGGAGCAAATGGTTCAGTATTTCCTACTTAAATGTTTGTGGCAACTTTATGGAACATAATTACCACAAATAATGAGAATCGACTGTATCCTGAACATTATTTATTACATTTATTTCAAGGTTGCTTGTTGTTTATGTAGTTGTGAATAGTATCTGTTTTTACATCACATTTTCTAACTTGGTTTTGCTCATGTAGGGTATATTGGTTTTAGTACGCTGATCTCATGTCCTGGCTTTGTCATTTTACTAGCTGAGTGACCCTTGTCAAGTTTATTAGTTTGCTAGGGCCTCCCTAACAAAGTATCTCAAATTTTGGGTGGCTTAAAATAACAGATATTCATTGCTCCCAGTTCTGGAGCTGGAAGTCTGAAATCAAGGTGGTGGGAGGGCCATGCTCCCTCTACAAACTGCAGGGGAATGCCTCCTTTCTCTCCTAGTGCCGGGTGGTCGTCCTCAATCGTCAGCATTCCTTTGCTGTAAGGATTTTGTTGTCACGTGGCTCTCCCTATGTTGTGGGTCTGTGCTGGAATTTACCTCCTCTTGCGAGGGCATCAGTCATACTGGATTAGGGGTCACCCTGAAGGCCTCACCTTACTTGGTTACATCTGCAAATATCTGATTGTCGATAAGATCATATTCACAAGTTCCAGGAGTTATGGCTCCAACATATCTTTTGGGGAACACAATTCAACATATAACAGTAAGTTAATTTACCTTTATGAACATCAATCTAATTTGGAAATAGTAATTGTATCATTCTCAAGGGGCTGTTGTATTATATTAGTTAATAATATATGGAAAGTACCTAGAAATGTGTCTGGCCCACATTAAGAATTCAATATGTGTTAGCTAGTCAATTACTGCTGTCAGACCACTGCTGAACTCTGTTATTGGTTTCAGTAGTTTGTAAGTTATCTTGAAAATACTCTATAGATAATCACATTGCATAGAAAAGGCACTTTTGTCTTTTCTAATTTTTTATATACTTTATTTTACTTCTTACCTTATTGTTATAAGACCTCCGGGATAATATTCAATGGAAGCAACAACAGTAGGATAGTGGCCATCTTCTTCTGTTTACAACTTAAATGTGAATTATTCTATGATTGTATCAATAAATATGATGATTCTTACAGGTTAACAATGATGTCATTTCTCAGACTAGAAAAGTTTATTTCTAGTCATAATTTTTAAAGGATTTCTTAATTAAATACATTTTTCTGCATTTTGTAAGATAATTTTTCTCTTCTAGACTATCAAGCCATAAATGATGGAAATCATCAGCAAATAAAAGTTCAGGCTGTGGGTTAGGAGGTGAATGGAAAGTAGGTGGAATCTGGCTGGGTTGTAAACAGAGTAAGAAACACAAATTCCATTTGAATGGCTGTTTGTCTTTATTGTTTTGCAGATGCATAAATATGTGGATGTAGAGGACTAGTTTGATGTTGATAATAATAATAAAATAATAATAATAATAATAACTACAGAAACAATATGGTCAGTAAGAGTTACCATAAACAATAACACTCCCCACCAAATCCTTCTAACTCAATGGAATAAAGGGATACACATTTCCTTTTGTAGTCTGTGTAGTTATTTTGTCAGCTCTAATGAAGCACCAGCATAGAAAAAAAAATGAAATAATGAAGGAAAGTGTCTACAGCACTTCGAGGTAGTATAATTCTGATTTCATGCTTAGTCACAAAATCATTCCAAATAGCTTGCTGAAATTCAGTAATACGGCGTAGCTCCTCCTGCAGGCCAGTTCATCTCCAATTGCTCAGGCTCTGCATCACTGGGGGGCTGGTCATTTTCTTTTCTCCTTCTTTGTTATAATCAAATAACTGTTATTGTTATTTGAAAGTTCATGCATTGGGACAGATCATCTTTTTGGGATATGGACAATGTAAAAACCTGGCTTAAATCCATAGAAGACATCCTGAAACCTGTTTGTAATGAGTGTCTGGACAGGATTTGGAGCTGAATGTATCTCTTTAGATGACACCTGGGTGCTGGCCTGGACTGTGCCCTCACCGTCTGTTTACACTGTCTGTGAGGAGTCTCTTAGCTGCAGGCAGCAGAGATATTCATAATGGAAGGCTGTAAGTGCAAAAATCAACAGGCAATTTGGGCATGTTTCTGGTCAGTTTTGGGACCTGCTTCAACAAATTCAATGGAAAGAAGGAATATTTCTACCTGTTCAACAACTTGTTTTTCAAGTTCTTAAAATGACTTCCAAAAAAGAAAAGGCTCCAAGTTATGAACAAATTATACTGAAACTTTCTTTCTTCCCTCCTTCCTTCCTTTTTTCCCTCCTTCCCCCTTCCTTTTTTCCACCAACCCATATTTATTGGGTGTCCATTATCTATGTCAGATGAATACAAAGTATTTAGCACAGTTTCTAGTATATAATAAATACTTCATAAGTGATTCTATCCCTAATGAGATCAATGCAAGTTTTGGGGCCATTTGTTAGCACATGCAGCAAGCACCTTACTAAGGGGAAGCTTTATCTTGATGCCTTTTTTCTGGTCAGAAGCTGATGTTGGTGATGACACAGTCCACTGGTTAGAAAAATAACAATGACAATAAATGCACATGAAATCCAATTTCTAGTGCTATTTCTGTAGGGTTAGTGAAACAAAATTGGTCTGAAGCCTTGATTCAAACACTGAGCCAATGAAAAAATGTAGCCATAGATGATTTGATGACTGTGTAAAAGGTTAATGGGTTACTATTTAAATAACATGGTAAAAAATTCTTTTTTCTAGTTTTAAGGACACTTTTTTCTAAGTTCACACAAATTCCTTTTTATAACAGGTAGGCTCCCTTACTTGGCTGTATACTGTCATGCCTAAATAATCCTACAACTAAAAATTTTAAGGGCTTTCACCCAAAATTGCTAGACAGAACTTCCTCTTTAATTTGTCACTCGCCTTTTACTTTATGGTGAGGCATTGGTTCAACTGTGGTTTCCTTTATAATAAAAAGACAGGGCTCTGTTTTACTCCTGTGATGACCAGAGGGGGCATGTACAATGGCCCAGAGTTATTTTGACCTAAAACTTTTAGGGGTGAATCCTGCTGACCAAGTGCACATAAAGTAAAAAATGCTTATTCTTTTTAGATGAACCGCCTCTTACCTAAAAACTGTCAACAAGAGCAAAGACTGGTAAATTGAGAATCAAAGGATGGAGATAGATGTTAAAATCGGTCATCCTAACTTCTTATGATGATGCATCAAGCAAATGACTTGCTGGACTGCGTGCTCAGCAATGCTGCATAGAGGCAGGTAAGGAGCTGCATTTGGCTTTCTTAACATAAGGTATAAAGAACTCACACAGATCAGTGGGTAGGAGAGGCCATTAAGTGGCTAATTACTCTACTCGACTTTCACGTATTAGGTATATCTCACTGGGGGAAAATATTTGGAGGAGAAAACTTGACTCTGCTTCCCAGCCTCTCTTTCACTCCTTGACCACAAAAGTTCTGGAGGCAGCTTGTTGCTTTGCCAGTGGGATTCTTTTTGGACTGCACATTGCAGGTTGGATGCTCAGTTAGGGGCCACTGAGGGGTGCTACAAGTTCCAGAGGAGGAGTGGTTGCGGTGTGGCGTTCTGTGTCACATAGTCAAGGCTGTGTAATAAGGCACCAAGAAGAGTCAAAGAATGAATTTCAGGATTATCTCTCCACACTTGCCCCAAATCTTTTCTGATTATTGCAGTAAGTCCTTGGGTGAGAGTAGGGATAAACAAAAAGGATTTCCTGTACTCCAGTGTTGTGACATTATCTCTTCCTGCTCCCAAACAGGGCTTCTGGGAAGGGATTGCCATTGCCACCACTTGAGACATTGCTGTGGCTGCATACCCATGCCAATTCCTTGGCCCCTGTCCAAGTGGAGGCACACCTGCCTCTCACCTGTGTCAGCCCTGGTACTAGGCTACAGAGCACATTTGACTTTCTTGTGCACTCTGTTTCTTGCAAAGACTAATAATGCAGGGCTTAGTTCTAGCTGTGATTTTGGCTTTGGCCTTTGCGGGCAGCAGCACATGCAGGCTGAGGACCCTCCTGCTACTTCACCATGCTGTTCTGAAAACCACTCTCCTCTGAAGCCCCTGCCCTAGGGCCAGATTTTAGCCTGACCCATGCATCCTTGACCCTCCATCCACACTGTTCTGTTCTCCACTGGGCTCATGGTGTACATCCTGAGGAATGAGGGGTGATGAGGCTGATATTCAACACAGACAGAGCATCAGACACACTGGACTTTGCAGTGAATGTACATCTCAGGAGTTTGCTCTGGGACCTCCATAAACAATAATGACCACTACCATTTTTTTTAGCTTTATAAATGAACATGTTGATTTTGAAAGCTGAACTATTCAAGGAAATAATATTAGAAGTTGGAGGATGTAAAACATTTTAAACACTCCATATATTGATGACCTCACTTTTTTCTTAGCATATGAATTGAGTTTTGGAGTTGCAAATGAGGTGACTTTTTCTGGGTCTTAATGGAAGGATCAACAATTGGAATACATGCCTGCAAAAGTTATATTCCAGGCAACTCCGTAGGAGTTGGCACTATTAATTTTTTTTTTGAGAGGGCATCTCTCATATTTATTGATCAAATGGTTGTTAACAACAATAAAATTCTGTATAGGGGACTCAATGCACAATCATTAATCAACCCCAAGCCTAATTCTCAACAGTCTCCAATCTTCTGAAGCATAATGAACAAGTTCTTATATGGTGCACAAGTTCTTACATAGTGAGTAAGTTCTTACATGGTGAACAGTGCAAGGGCAGTCATATCACAGAAACTTCCGGTTTTGATCACGCATCATGAACTATAAACAATCAAGTCAGATATGATTACTCATTTGATTTTTATACTTAATTTATATGTGAATCCCACATTTCTCCCTTATTTATTTATTTTTTAAATAAAATGCTGAAGTGGTAGGTAGATGCAAGATAAAGGTAGAAAACATAATTTAGTGGCACTATTAATTTTATGTTAGCCTTTTCATGTAGAAATATTCTGTAACAGCAGATAATTCCTACATATAAGCTTAGTTTACATTTGCCCCTGTCATAGGGCCCAGTCTATCCCCCACCCCTACTCCTGAGTCAGGAGAGAATATTTTTTTTGACTTGTTATTACTTTCTTCCTCAAATTTTAGTTCAGGTCTATTTTGGGAACTGTGTCTATAGTTTTAAAAACCTTATTAATGAGAAGCTTTGCTCTAATATATAATTTGTGAATAAGAACTCTATCTGAGATGCTTTTTAGGTGCCAACAGAGAGTTTTAATTTACATACTAAAGTTTCATTTTGTTCTTAAACCTTTGGACTTGCATGTTATGTTTATCAAGTATGATTCTGAAGGTTCTTATATGGGCACTGTGCAACGTGCGGGCTTCCTAGATAATGTTGATAAACTCACACTTAATAACACTAAAAGCCACTTCCATCTGGATTTACTGGCAATAAAAAGAGACATTACAGAACTTTGGGAATTTGATTAAGGCGCCAAACACTAATCTTCGATTACAAAACTGTAGAACCTAACTACTTGGGAAAACAAAGCAATCCAAGGACAGGCTTTTGGTAAAAGCTTTTCACTGTGGATTAATAATTAATGTGTTAAATGTACTTTGTAATAAACTGTATCATAATGGATTACTTTTGATAGCTAGCTAAATTGGCAATGATACCCCAGCATGGCTCCATTGACTCAAACTTTCAATTTCAGTTGCTAGATTTATTGGGTTAAACTGCAATGAACCTATTATAGGCTTATTTTAACTTGTTTAGAAATCATAATTAATTAAAAAATATTAATGGTGACTGTAAAAATTATATAAAAATTGGCAAAGTTACAAAAAATATAACAAGACATGGTCTTTAAAAGAGAAAGTGGTATAATCTACTTTTAAGGCAAATAAGCAGTAGGGGAAAAAACATTTCAAAGGGACCAATTAGTGTTTTTCATTCAAGAAAATGTTTATGTTAATGCTTATGGTTATTTTATGTGGGTAATAAAGATGAAATATTCAGTAAGTTAGATAGTCGAAAAACAAATATTTTAGAAACAAGTAGCAATAAATTATAATTTACCTCAACTTTGAAGTCAGAAATTAGAAGTAGACAGATGATGAACTGTCCAGAACATTGACAAAATATCCTGTTTTGTGATGATTTTGAGCCTAGAACTCTCAGCACTTTTTCGGAAATTGAATATATATCCCACTAGAACCCTTCAGAATGCTTGGAGAATGGCAAACCAAATGGACTGTCTCTTAGAAAAGCGAATTTTAGCTCCCTAATCTTTTCCTCACTTTTAGGAAAGTGTATTTATTTGTATTTTCATAGGGCATTCCATTTTTCAGGAGAGGGATAGTCAAGGGTCATGGTGGGGTTAAGGTATAGGGTCACTGCAAAAATCTATAATCCATCACTTGTTTTGAGAATACCTTAATCCCCAAGTAACAAAATGTCACACACATACAGAACTTTACACGTTGCAAAGGGTTTTTGTTTTTCAATCTTATGATGCTGTTCCATATTTAAAAAACTCACATGAAATAACACTATAGTTATTATGTGTTTGTGTAAATAGATTAAGTAGTGGTGACTTCTGTAGGAGGAATAGTTTGGGGTATTCATTAAAGGAGACTTTTTAACCCATAAAACACTTTCACACATACTATTTCATTTATCCTTAAAATGACGTGAAAACACTTGCAAACTGCAGTTCGTATGGAAGCTCCTCTACCTTCATCATAAATAGTTGACAGCCCACTGTATTTTAGGTACTTGGGACGTATCAATGAACCATGTCCCTGACCTCAGAAAGCTGATACTCTTGTGGGGAGTATAGGCAATAAATAATAGATGTAAGAAATAAGTAGATTATAGAGAATGTTAGAAGGTGACAGTTACTATAGAGAAAAAAATGAAAGCTTTGAAGGAGGTGAGGGATTATTCACGACGGTATCTGGGTGCAGAGGGTTCCAAGATGAAAGACGAGTAAGTGCAAGGACCCTAAGGCGGGAGCCTGCCTGGCCGCCTGAGGAGGTGACTGGTGTCGCTGAAGCCACTGAAGCCACGAGGTCAGACCAACAGCGCAGGCCTTGTGAGGTTGTAACTCCGGGGGTAGAAATCCCGGAGCGATATACCTTTGAACCGAAATCAGTCAAAGGGAGAAATAACATGGCAGAAACCCGTTTATTGCTTTACAAGCAGTCGTCCATTTCTGCTCACCCACGTCTCTCCTGTCGCGGCTGCCAAAAGGGGCCCCAGCCAACCTCTCTGGTCCAGATATGCCCTCGCTCACCCTCGTCATCACCTATTGACATGGAGATGCACTAAGGCCACGGGAGAGTTTCTGGAAATGTTGTGATTTACCCACAGGGCTCTGTCAGGGGTGGGGGTGGGGTCTTCCTAGAGGGGCCATATGCCTTGTGAAGATTTTGCACTTATGAGCAATGGGAAACCATTCAAAATGCTAAGCAATGAATTAGACTCAGTTAGTTGGAAAGAAGTTAATAATGAAGTCTTTCAAGGACAGTATACTCGAAATTTCTGCTTAAAATTTATATTAAAGACCTGGGAGAGAGCAGGATGAATGGCCAAGTAGCAAAACAGGCTTTTGAGTTACAATGATTAAACCCAAACCAGGCAAGATTATGAGTAATCTTTAATGTTTCAGTCATTTTATTAAAAAAAAATTAAAACCTACAAAGCTGAAGAGGAATAATAGAAACCAGGTATGGTAGGCCTGGTGGTGTGACCCTCAGACTGAGATTGGTGAAAGCCTTTTTAAACTGGAAAGAGGACTAGAAACAGGCATGTACAATAATGAATGTTAGGGAAAAGCCCAGGTGGCTGGTCCTGTTTGTCTTGTGTTGTAATGTTAGACCAGGTCGTGGTTAATGAGCAATGACAAGCTGTTTTCAATCTACCCAGAGAATCCCAAAAAGGAAACAACAACAACAACAACAAGAAAAACCTCTACTAAAGATTTAGGAGAAGTAGGAGGAAGAATGGTTTGACATTACAATACATTCTAATAAGTTCTGTGGGCTTGTCTTTCCTGAAGCTGGAAAAACCAAAGGTTGACAACATTTGAAACAAGTAATATGCTGAATCTTAGTGTGTTTCAAATGGTTGATTTTCTAGTTGCAATTTTCCTAAATTAGGAAACTTTTCTAGAAAGCTGAGAGTGGTAAGAGTGTAGTTAGCATGGATAGGAGTTAGAAGCGATAGTTGGGGGTTTGTAGTACTT